CCACGTGACAGCTAGTATTACGAGGTATATGACCTTGACAAGACACTGGTTGACATCGTGAGCAGAGACCAATGCCGTCGATCAGGACATACATTAACCCACGTGGAAGCTAGTATTACGAAGTATTTCACCTTGACGAGACAGTGGTTGACATCGTGAGCAGAGACCAATGCCGTCGGTCAGGACATACATTAATCCACGTGACAGCTAGTATTACGAGGTATATGACCTTGACAAGACACTGGTTGACATCGTGAGCAGAGACCAATGCCGTCGATCAGGACATACATTAATCCACGTGACAGCTAGTATTACGAGGTATTTCACCTTGACGAGACAGTGGTTGACATCGCGAGCAGAGACCTATGTCGTCGGTCAGGACATACATTTATCCACGTGACGACTAGTATTACGAGGTATATGACCTTCACAAGGCACTGGTTGACATCGTGAGCAGAGACCAATGCCGTCGATCAGGACATACATTAATCCACGTGACAGCTAGCATTACGGTTATTTCACCTTGACGAGACAGTGGTTGACATCGCGAGCAGAGACCAATGTCGTCGGTCAGGACATACATTAATCCACGTGACAGCTAGTATTACGAAGCATATGACCTTGACATGACACTGGTTGACATCGTGAGCAGATACCAATGCCGTCGGTCAGGACATACATTAACCCACGTGGAAGCTAGTATTACGAGGTATTTCACCTTGACGAGACAGTGGTTAACATCGTGAGCAGAGACCAATGCCGTCGGTCAGGACATACATTAACCCACGTGGAAGCTAGTATTACGAGGTATATGACCTACACAAGACACTGGTTGATATCGTGAGCAGAGACCAATGCCGTCGGTCAGGACATACACTAATCCACGTGACAGCTAGTAGTACGAGGTATATGACCTACACAAGACACTGGTTGATATCGTGAGCAGAGACCAATGCCGTCGGTCAGGACATACATTAACCCACGTGGAAGCTAGTATTACGAGGTATATGACCTTGACGTGACACTGGTTGACATCGTGATCAGAGACCAACGCCGTCGGTCAGGACATACATTAATCCACGTGACAGCTAGTATTACGAGGTATATGACTTTGACGAGACAGTGGTTGACCGCGAGCAGAGACCAATGCCGTCGATCAGGACATACATTAATCCACGTGGAAGCTAGTATTACGAGGTATTTCACCTTGACGAGACAGTGGTTGACCGCGAGCAGAGACCAATGCCGTCGATCAGGACATACATTAATCCACGAGACAGCTAGTATTACGAGGTATATGACCTTGACATGACAGTGGTTGACATCGTGATCAGAGACCAACGCCGTCGGTCAGGACATACATTAATCCACGTGGCAGCTAGTATTACGAGGTATATGACCTACACAAGACACTGGTTGATATCGTGAGCAGAGACCAATGCCGTCGGTCAGGACATACATTAATCCACGTGACAGCTAGTAGTACGAGGTATATGACCTACACAAGACACTGGTTGATATCGTGAGCAGAGACCAATGCCGTCGGTCAGGACATACATTAACCCACGTGGAAGCTAGTATTACGAGGTATATGACCTTGACGTGACAGTGGTTGACATCGTGATCAGAGACCAACGCCGTCGGTCAGGACATACATTAACCCACGTGGAAGCTAGTATTACGAAGTATTTCACCTTGACGAGACAGTGGTTGACATCGTGAGCAGAGACCAATGCCGTCGGTCAGGACATACATTAATCCACGTGACAGCTAGTATTACGAGGTATATGACCTTGACAAGACACTGGTTGACATCGTGAGCAGAGACCAATGCCGTCGATCAGGACATACATTAATCCACGTGACAGCTAGTATTACGAGGTATTTCACCTTGACGAGACAGTGGTTGACATCGCGAGCAGAGACCTATGTCGTCGGTCAGGACATACATTTATCCACGTGACGGCTAGTATTACGAGGTATATGACCTTCACAAGGCACTGGTTGACATCGTGAGCAGAGACCAATGCCGTCGATCAGGACATACATTAATCCACGTGACAGCTAGCATTACGGTTATTTCACCTTGACGAGACAGTGGTTGACATCGCGAGCAGAGACCAATGTCGTCGGTCAGGACATACATTAATCCACGTGACAGCTAGTATTACGAAGCATATGACCTTGACATGACACTGGTTGACATCGTGAGCAGATACCAATGCCGTCGGTCAGGACATACATTAACCCACGTGGAAGCTAGTATTACGAGGTATTTCACCTTGACGAGACAGTGGTTAACATCGTGAGCAGAGACCAATGCCGTCGGTCAGGACATACATTAATCCACGTGACAGCTAGTATTACGAGGTATATGACCTTGACATGACACTGGTTGACATCGTGAGCAGAGACCAATGCCGTCGGTCAGGACATACATTAATCCACGTGACAGCTAGTATTACGAGGTATATGACCTTGACAAGACACTGGTTGACATCGTGAGCAGAGACCAATGCCGTCGGTCAAGAAAAACATTAATCCACGTGACAGCTAGTATTACGAGGTATATGACTTTGACGAGACAGTGGTTGACTTAGCGAGCAGAGACCAGTGTCGTCGGTCAGGACATACATTAATCAACGTGGCAGCTGATATTACGAGGTATATGACCTTGACAAGACAGTAGTTGACATCACGAGCAGTGACCAATGCCTTCGATCAGGACATACATTAATGCACGTGACAGCTAGCATTACGAGGTGTATGACCTTGACAAGACACTGGTTGACATCGTGAGCAGAGACCAATGCCTTCGATCAGGACATACATTAATCCACGTGGCACCTAGTATTACGAGGTATTTGACCTTGAATATGTAGTCTGGAGACCCAACTTCTGCACATTTCGCCAAATGCACAAAGTGGAAATAACAGCCCTTTAATTCGGAAGTTGGGAACACAGTTCTTTGGGCATTCTGGGTGGATGGTTCAAAGTCTGTGAAGATTGTTTCAGGCATCAGTTGCAGGGCAGTCATCTCGGTCGTCTTCTCGCTCAGTACAGTGAAGAAGCTTGTATATGTTTGTTGTTTTTTGTCTGGTAATAGGGTGTACACAAGGGGGAACATCTTGTCTTCAACAAATGCATGTATGGTGTAGATCTGACTGAAAAGTTGTGGACACGCCACGGGTCTTCGGCGTGACGAGCGAACGCTTTAACCACTAGGCTACCCGACCGCCCCAGACATAGATAAATTACCTGAAATTTCCTCTTGATAGATGGTGGGCACCGTTTTGGTCTCTTCTCTAACACGGATCTTCAGGTTGGCCATGAACTTTTCAACTTGGATCTTTGCATCGTCAGCAACGTGATTATGGATGTTCTTATAAGCTGTGATCACGCCGTTGTAGGTGTTGAGTGTGGCGTGACAGGTTTTCATACAGCATCGCCAGTAGACTCTATCTTCTTTCCTATTTTTAACCCTGAATTTATATCCACCATATACTAAATTCTCCCCGTCTTGACCGTTAGGAATGTAACTTAATGCTACTTGTGCGTTTGCAATGACTGCACTGCCAATTTGTGGGATTCATCACTAAATAGTTTCAATTATGGGAGCAAATTTCATATAATTACAAGTATTTGTCACGGAGTGACGAAATATCCCCCGCCTGTACACCATAGTCCCAAATATGAAGACAATCCAGCGATTAGTTCTTGAGATATTGTGGCAACACCGTTTTCCAACTCCAAAAACAGATTTGCCTGCTGTGACCTTGAAAATGCGGTCAAGGTCACCAAATCTGACAGGTGTATGCGGTGTCTGTATATACACTATAGTTCCAAATATGAAGACAATCCAGCGATTAGTTCTTGAGATATCGCGGCAACACCGTTTTCTAACTCCAAAAGCAGATTTGCCTGCTGTGACCTTTAAAATGGGATCAAGGTCACCAAAACCGACTGGTGTCTGCGGAGTCTGTATATACACCATAGTTCCAAATATGAAGACAATCCAGTGTTTAGTTCTTGAGATATCGCGACAACACCGTTTTCCAACTCTAAAAGCAGATTTGTTTGCTGTGACCTTGAAAATGGGATCAAGGTCACCAAAACCGACTGGTGTCTGCGGAGTCTGTATATACACCATAGTTCCAAATATGAAGACAATCCAGTGTTTAGTTCTTGAGATATCGCGGCAACACCGTTTTCCAACTCTAAAAGCAGATTTGTCTGCTGTGACCTTGAAAATGGGATCAAGGTCACCAAAACCGACTGGTGTCTGCGGAGTCTGTATATACACCATAGTTCCAAATATGAAGACAATCCAGTGTTTAGTTCTTGAGATATCGCGGCAACAAACAGGTGGGACGTACGGACGGACGTACGGACGTACGTACGGACGGTCGTGAATACTATATCCCCCGCTTCGCGCTTTCGCGCGGCGGGGGATAATAAAGTAGTGAACAAATTTCACAAGAGTGAACACTTGTGAGAACATTTCACTTATCACAAATTTATTTCAGCACATCAACTTCAAATGAAAAATTAAGTTGTTGTTTTTTTTCTGTGTGGATTATCATCAACATCTACTCTCATTTCACTGCGCAAAATATGACCATCCTTATTTAGCTGCTTCATCCCTAAATGGAAGGAGTGAGTGAGTGAGTTGGGTTTAACAACCGATTTGAACAGTATTTCAGTTTTATCATGGCATGTCAACTTATTGAGGGATGAACCCGACGTGGTGCAGGTGTTTGATGTTTACCACTTGGTGAAACCCATGAGAACAGGTATGTGGGTGAGAAACAAAGACACAAAGCCAGCGATCCGGGATTCGAACCCAGGATCAAAGGTTGTAAGGCCTATGGGACGCAACTCTGTACAGAGAAAACGCGCCTTTGATAAGTGGGCCACCCTGGCCTCCACAGACAAGAACCAAAGTAGGAAAGTACCTATTAAAACTGAAGAATCGTCGAAAAAATAATCAAGAGAAAACAAACACTTCCACACGTTTAATGTCGTTACGCAGTGTACATACGATTATACATCATTCACGCACCAGACTAACGCTCCTCCATGTCATCGGCCCTTGTGACGTCACTTCCTCTTACACTCAAGCACCATCGAAATAGGGTGTACCTAGATCATCACTAGCGGCACAAGCAATCATGTGCACGCGAGATCTCAGTCCAACAATTGGTAAATTCTATGTACAGTTAAATACAACAGAATTGAACATTTGTATAAAATACTATTGACATACATACATACATACAGTTTCAATACTGTAATCTTCCGTTAGAAAGACAACCCGCATAACAAAATGGCGACTACACAACGTTCTTTAAATGCCAAGCAACGTGCATGTGTTTTACCCGTAGATATAGTGAGACATGGATTCAAACCGCATACTGACAGAAGCATACCACAATCACAATCTCTGATCAGAGAGATGGACATTCATTGCCCATGTTCATAAAGCTCAATGAATCCGTTATTCGCTCCATGCCATCAATAGGACATCGCGTTTCATTCGTAAATATACTGAACAAAATATATTAGGGAACATAATTATCTTTAGGGTGATTTCTTTGAAGTGAAGACTGAGCACACGACAGCATTATAATATCCCCATACATATTCATGATCCCTAACTGTTTTGTTCAGTATGTTAGCTGAAAGTCAGGAATGAAACGCAACTTCTGCAGTTTTTTTACGTAATCTTCGCATCTCTACGCTGTTGTACCCAGACAAAACTGTCCCTGAACATGGATATTCTTTCAACTGTTATAACACGAATATGAGGTTAACATCCAGTCACCATACAATCATTCATAAGTACTAATACACCCAACTAACTTACCACCGAAACGTCTGATGGTTACGTTAAAACGTGTGGGTAGCCGCCATCTTGAAATACAACATATTTGTTCTCATTGTAACAAAGATTCCCGAAAGGAACGACAATCACAGATATTTGGAACAGGATTCTTGAGCTAGATCACTGGTGTACGTTAACAGAAACCCAAATATCTAAAAATAACAAATGGTGAAAAATATATCCGATTCATGTGAATGTGGGGTCGTAACATGCTGACGTGTCTTATTGGGTCATGTATCAAGACTAATCATTACACCATCTGGAATCCATATTGATAATTCCAATATCTCCCAATGTATCAAAAGTACTAAAACCTCTCTGTTCGTGCCATTCAAAAGGTAATATCACAGATGAGTTAGAGCTGTCTACAGCAATGGAAATGTACACATGGAAATGTTTCTATTCTAGATACACATAGAACGATGCTTCAACAAGGATCCACGTGTCCCTTCATGGCAGAGCTGCCTCGCAAATGAGCTGTGTGTAAAATCCTTTCTTTGGTTACGCAAATATTCCAAACCACATTAGTACTTTAAGTAGACATGCGAGAAGTCCATTTCAAATTAAGCCGAGAGACGTTACACAATGAGATCTCAGCTGTGTTTATGGCAGCTGTTCGTCGTAGCTTCTCACAAGCAGTGCTTGAATAATGGACTCTCACGGGCTTAATGCTCAAGCATCACAGCTGCGGCGCCACAAATGAAAGTTCTGGTTTATACAGAGTTATTTTTTCACCAGTATGGGGTTGTTGTATCGACATGATTCCAACAAGCGTACTCGGACCAGTTCGAATTGTGTTCAGGCCAGATACTGTGAGATACAAACTTGGGTTGCTGGACTTTTTTGTAATCTGCTGATACAATATGATAATTATTTCCACTGTTGCTGTCCCAGAACTGTGATTCGTCTGCTTCGTAACACACTGCGAATTCTATCACTTTACCCATGTCAAAGTTTGTAGGGACATTGAACTCAAACGAAAACGTGTCGTAGACACTATGATCTGCTGGGCTGGGGACGAACGAAGCTTTGGTGTCCTCGAAAGTCTCCCATGAGTCGAACGTAACTCTAACAAAGACGCTTTTATGAAAAGTAACATTTTTAACCTTCACGGTTCCTCCAACACGGTAGTCCCTTAATATCACATTTTCCAGAGACACAAACTCTTTTTCCAACCTGTCTCTGAACGCCAAATAGTCCGACGCTGGCTGATTAAAACAAAGTTTTAACGGAGGTTGTTCCGTCACTGCAGCTGACGCCCCTTGCGTCACTGAGGCGAGAACCTCAGGACGAATCCTTGGAGGCATATCAGACGCCTCTGTCATAACTCGCACTGTAGCGAGAGCCTTTCCTTGGTGGTCTGCGAATGACACTTTCTTCTTTAACCTTCCAGGAGAATGTGGACTGGCAGACCGTGGACTCGTCGGAGTCGAACTACCGGAAGTCGACGCTGAGGTATCGCTGTTTGTTTCCGGTTTGATAATAATGGGTTTAAGAGGAGCGTTGTTCCGTCTTTGACTCAAACTTGGTAATCGTGACTGGTGATAAAGTTCCCCGTCTGAGTGGCCGATGCGTTTGTCGTCTGGGTGGAAGGCATATGTCAACAGCTCCAGGCTGGAAGCTGGGGGGCTGGATGACAACAGGTAGGTAGTGAAGTCAACAGGCATCCTGTGTCCTGTGCCACGAGGGCTCGTTATTTCCAACATCTGCACTTCTGAAACAAACAAGACACACGGTGAATGAATGGTCTGTATTTCACTGAACGTCAGTGTCATTAATAAACAAACTCGTGTTATTCCGGGACAAGCCGAATAGCGACTCGTGCCCCTCTCGTGGCCATTTTTGCGACCGGGTTCCGTCTTAGCGCAAACGGGCATACCTAAAACAATTGTCAACTCGTTGCGTAATCATTCACACATTTTCCCAATATATTATATATATTTCAGATGCAATTTAAAGCACATCGGGACGTGCGGAATTATACAGTATGATTGAACACATTTAACTGTGTCTCTGGTATATTTTTAGATGCAAGACATATTTAAAATCAAACATTATTTCTGAGGGATTCTTTGACGAAGAATTTGAAATCATACGCGCATTCTGATTGGTTTGTCGTATTTTCGCACATAACATTCATCGATAGAGGGACGAGTCTTCTTGCAGGTTACGGAAAGGGGCGAGTGGTGACGAATGCGTCAGTGTCTGTTGTGAATTATGAAACTAATACGACCACTAAAGAGTTCGAACTTTCTGCATGAGTGAGTGAGGGTAAGGATTACGCCGGTTTTAGCACTATTCCAGTAATATGCTGGAAGGGGGCGGCAAACATTAGCTTCACATATTGAATTTCTGGAAACGAAGAATCTGAAACGTACGAACAGACCAACGAAAATGTTCGAGTTGGAGACCAGGGAGTTATTGCATGGTATTAGGTTATATTACATGTTATTATGTGTTATTGCATATGTAATATCGTGTGTTGTATCCCAAGTCAGACTGACCTTTGTAGTAATCGTAATGTCATTACACAACCAAATATGTTTCGGTCAACATTTCCGCTTTCATGTAGTCTCATTTTAATATCAAATCCCGTTCTTGTCATCCGGGTACGAGAATCGTCAGTTTAGGATATTAAAAAAAATATTTAAACGAATTCGATTTTCTTTGGTACAAGTGACGCCTTGGTTCGTTACTGTCCAAATACATGGTTAGGTTAATGTAACAGGATTCAAGGTAAGCGGCGTATTGGCGTAAAATACCCATAAGAAATGTTCATTACATTACATTTTCATTTTGAGATGCTTGCGTACAAATACGCATGAAAACATAAAAGAAACAATTGTACGAGTAAGATGTTTTTTTCTTCTTTGTTTTTTTAACGCCGCACTCAGCAATAATCCAGCTATAGGACGGCGGTCTGTAAATAATCGAGTCTTGACCAGACAATCAAGAATCGATCCACACAATTGGGATACATGCATCAACCAAGTCAACGAGCCTGACCACTCAATCCAGTTAGTCGCATAGTTGTAAGAGGCGACTAGCGGGATCGGGGGAAACTAACTATCCCAATTGCGTAGATCGATGCTCATGATGTCAATCTCTGGCTTGTCTGGTTCAGACTCGATTATTTACAGACCGCCGTCACATAGCTGGAATATTGCCGAGTGCGGCTTTAAACAAACAAAACGAGTATAAACTCCGCACTTGGAATATAATCACTAATAAAAAAAATAAAAAAATATATGTAACGGAGAATTGTAATAAAACAATACATAGATCGAATGTTAATCTATGAAGCAAATGTGGTCATTATACAGGTAGTTTTAAACATCAGACAATAAACATGTTTATATATAACCATACAAACTGTGTCTACTATCACGGGAATACGAGGGATATCGCAGCCAGTCATTGACGCTTATTCACACCACTATGAAATGTCCGTTCAATACAGACGGAAATCCGAGACCAGGTCATAGAACCCGCTGACCGCTAGTTGACCCCAACACGACTAGGCCTTCCAACTGCCCGGGGCAGAGGGAGTTTACCTAGTAGACCAAACAAATCACACTATCTCGTGATGTAACTTGAGCCATGAAACTAGCATGACAGGTGCTCGTTGTATGTACTATAGGCCATCCTTATATAGGACAGGGCGTCCTTCATAAGTATCCACTTAGAGAGGCCAAACTACACGCTCCAGATGGCGAGGCCGTACGCACACGCTGCCATCATGCTATCATGGAGCCGGGTCATTATGCCATCAGCTGATACACCCATGAACTATTTCTGTGTACCATTGTTATCGTTTTTTAACATGCAACATATGGTCTTGTCACAGCCTAAACCTGCTGAAAGCTGCTTACAGTTGTCTGACATTATAAATTAATTCACCCTTTTTAATGCTAAAAATATTTGTTTCGGGAAACGTTAACAGGCGATTTGTCTCTCTTACGGACACGAGCGCATATATTTAACATTCAAGGGGTTTTATAATTACTGACTGACTGAGTATGGTTTTACGCCGCTTTTAGCAATATTCCAGCAATATCACGGCGGGGGACACCAGAAATGGGCTTCACACATTGTACTCATGTCGGGAATCGAACCCGGGTCTTCGGCGTGACGAGCGAAGTTTTATAATTAGCGAGGTATTATACTACCAGTTACATAAGACAGGTGGGTTTAGCTCATCCGTGGTAATCAAATATGGTCTGTTATGGGCTGTCGTAATTCTAGATACATTGAATGTCTTATCGGGAACTTGATAGGGCAGTTACAATGCAGGTCCCTCGAGGGACGGGCTGTGACCTTTGTTTGTTGTCTAACCCTGCACTCAGAAATATCCCAGCTATATGGACGACAGTCTGTAAAAAATCGAGGCTGGGCAAGACACCAGTGATTGACACCATGAGCATCGATCTACGCAATTTGAATGCGATGACATGCATTAACCACGTCAGCGAGCCTGACCACTCCATCCCTATAGCCTCTTACGACAAGCCTGGGTTGGTTGAGACCTATAACCTTCGAGACAGTCTGGTTCCACTTTGGTCTATCAAACACTTCTCACACAGAGATGAGTTAACCTGAAAATCCTTATATAACATAAATTCTATGGAATACAAGCTTTACATACTTAATACACGAAGTGGGGGATCGTGAATATTTTAGGGGTATTTTTTTGTAGACTGATCTCACACTTTCACATAAAAAAATATCCCCATGATCCCTAAACTTTTCTGGTACAGAAAATAATTTAACTCTGTGTATTATTGATCTGTATATGCTGTAGTGGTGGAGAGTGGCGACATATCGGAAACGTGTCGATGTTTACAATGATAGCGGAATTAAGACTTCCTTAATTTGACAGTCAGTGACGTCAACTAATTTCCCCAAAAATAATTCAATGTGGCAGTTTTCTCTTCATGTTCTAACTCATAACATATAATCCATACATCAGTATTATTCATACGCTTCCATGTGGTTTGAAACCGTTATCGCCCTATATGCATACCTGCAGACTGTTTCAAAATGATAAGACTCATCAAATACATAAACTCAGGTCTGTGGTTTGTCTTTAAGGAAAGAGTCGGTGTAAAATGGCTGTCTACAGTAGTGCATTTTAAACAAGCATTGTGAGTAAGAATGTAACGTCACATCGGCTATATTTGAGCAGAGACATTCAAATCCATTTCACAGTCCCTTATTTGAGTGAGTGAGTGAGTATGGTTTTACGCCGCTTTTACGCCGCTTTTAGCAATATTCCAGCAATATCACGGCGGGGGACACCAGAAATGGGCTTCACACATTGTACCCATGTCGGGAATATGTTATGCGAGACAAGGTGAAATAACTATTATCCCCTCGAAACCTAAATCAAGGGTTGCTCCAGCATTTATGATAGGAAGGGGTCCAAAATATCACAAAATCCCCTCTCAGTCAATTTATAATAGGAAGGGGTCCAAAATATCACAATATCCTCTCTCAGTCAATTGTACTGCCTACAACATACCACATTAAAAAAAAGTGTGTGTGTGTTGGGGGGCCTGAACTCCCCTCTGGATCCGCCTACGTAAATATCCCCATACCTATTCACCCCCCACCCCATAAGTGCTAAAAACATCCCCCCGACCATGAGAGCTGCAGCTGATACACGCATGGGTGAGCTGTGGCTGTCAGAGGAGCCAACAAGAGGCCGCGCCGCCACATCTCATTATCATATATATATCACAATTACGATGAACATGTATCCATATGACGTGACATCAGGGAAAAGTACATCGTTGAAGAAACAAAAGAATCACATTTGAATGAGGTCTGATGTACCAATATATCAAATACATCCTAAAACATGAGAAGCTGATTGCATTGGTATTTGCAATATTTCACAAACAACCGGAACATATATGAGGTATTGATTCCACGATCGGGCGATAAGTATCATATCGCCCACGACATCATCGAGATTTGTTTGAATAACCACAATCAGTTAACCTTCCTTACCTGTTTTGCCTCCGATGTAAAATTACGTGTGTGCCAGTTGCTCGCTACCTCCCCAATGACAGCTCGAACGATTCAACATGTAGGAAAGCCGGTACCCCAACCATTCACTGTCAAGGCCGTCTGATGTCATTTCTACATGTTCACGTGCACGGGTTAAGGTCATCCAATGAAAACGCAGCTCTTATATTCGTAGCCCAATCAGAGAGCCGCTCACAGGTCTGCCCACCACATGACGAGATGAGGTAAATAATCATTCGTTGGGGAAGGCTGCGCTTCGCTTCCTGACTATTCAGTGCGAGATCACGCTTATGGGGTATGGGACATATTGTCGCACCTATATCCCCACGCGTTCAATGAACGGCAGGTGATAGTTAATGCTTCATCATAATGGGCCATAATACTGACCATCGTATACATAATGAGACGAACATATACGTATTTATAGGCCTATGTATATACTATAGAGCCTTTGACAAACTTAGCTGACACCGCACGTTATGTAACACGAAATCTGCACTATAAAAGATATACAATATATCATCAGTGTCAATATTATACATATCAGGTCCGTCGACTATAATGGTAAAATTACAGCGCTTTAACATTAGAAAGACGTGTGACTCAATTTTAACTGAAGAAACTACGTTTAATTGAGGGAGTTATATGCATATGTCGAGGATCACGCTGTAGGTTTACGAAGTCGTGTTTACATAAACATGTTAAACGAGAGCTTGTTGTCAAATTGCATTGATATGATTCGAGGCATTGAATGGTTGATTGATAATATGCACTTCTCGAAGCGAGGAGTCAAAACATTTGATTACTCCACGCATTTGTGTGTGTGTGTGTTTACATGCATGCACGGTGCACATTCTTAAAACGCGCGTAAACAAAATATATTTTCGGGCATTTTGTACCACCCCACCCCCCTACCCGCGATATTTTTGGAGAGGTCATGTGCAGGTCATCTGTTTTACATATTGATATGATGCATGTAATATCGCCTATGATACCTGTATCAAATGCACCTACATCGAAAAAACATTTCTTGTCTGTTTCAGTTTTAGCCTCCATCACAAATGGGTGCATATCTTCATTTGCCCGTCAGGCTATTTGATGAATTATTTTATGAACTATTCAAATGTAAACAATCGACAAATGATGTAAAAAAAGTTTTTTTCACATTTTTCTAATTATTTTAAAATCTACGCACCATCATTCCAGAATGTCCACGAGTTAATAAGTTGATTAACATCTGAATATACCGTTTCTTCGCTCATTCAGAAACTCCAGATTAAAAATGTCATCCTTTTATTGGAGCACATCACCTGGCTGAAAACATGGAACAGACAGAAACACGCTTGTTACACGAACAGTTTTATCTGAAGCACGTCACATTGTTCGACCGAACAGATAAACTATACACGTTCTGGTGTTGCGGAGCCGGCATGTTGTTACTTAATGGATAATGCTCTATATTAACTGCGTCCGATTCACTCTTTAAATGCTACAAAACAGGTACTGCAGCTTTAATGCCAGTGGCAGTTTATATATCGGCCAAATGAGAAAGAAATAAGATACATAGTTACAATGATGCATTATTCATGATTAGGAGATAGAGCGATGTCACAATGCTTGTTCTGTCGCTGAGCTATCCATGCAAGGAAACCCCAGACTGCCTACCATTGCCAGTTGAAAACCCCCGGATCAACAGTCGTAGGTGTATGAGTTACGTCCCCTTGAATATATGTACGTACATAAGCACCTAGAGGCATTCCAAACCAAGTTTGCGTTCAACTCTGGAAGTCCCCAGTGAACCACGCTGACATGGTATTACCAAATTCATGTTTAGTTGACCAATGTCAGCAGATGTTAAATGATTTACGTCATACTTTTGTTGACCATAGTTACATACACTGTACCCAACTGTGGGGCCTTTTTGTAATAGGAGCCTCTAAGTAACCCCTCCTTTGATGATGTCGGATAGAACTGTACTGAGCACCATCATACAATCTATTCATTTTCACTATTAACACACACACAAATTGACGTTTTCAACCAAACAAACTTTTTCACCACTTCCAACAAACTATTCATTTGGGTGAGTGAGTGAGTGAGTGGGTTGGGTTTAACGCCGCTTTTAACAGTATTCCAGTTATATCACGGCGTGTCAGCTTAATGTGGGAGGAAAGCCCGAAGTGATGCAGGTCTCAGACGTTTATCACTTCGGTGAAACCCACGAGCACGGGTATGGTGCTGACAAACCTAGAAACATTATCGGGGCGAACCGGGATTCGAACCCACAATCATAGGTTTCTGGCGTGCCCAAGGGACGCAACTCTGCACAGCGAATCGCGGCGCCTTAGACGACTGGGCCACCCCTGCCCCCTCATTTGGGTGAACACACAATGCCATTTAGAAAGTGGTCAAATGTAACAAATGTTATAATTGGGATAACACCTTCTGAGTAAAGTACAGATTCTCGTACTTTGTGGGTTCGAATCCCGGACGGGACTCAACCCCAAAAAGTACGAGAATCTGTACTCTACTCAGAAAGTGTTATCCGAATTATAACATTTGTTATATTCATTTGGGGTATATTTCTAAACAAGCTATTCATTTAAAAAAGCTCTTTCTCTTTCATTTAAAAAAATCAGGATTCAAGTGTACTTTATATTCAGTGAGTGAATGTATTTTCAATGCAAACTCTTTCACCTTCCTCTCTTAATTACATGTTCTCGTTCAAATAAAAACTTTGTATTTTTAAAGTGTTATTTTTTAATTCCCCTTAGCTGATAATCTTGCTTGTGTCACGTGACGAATCGTAAAACACCGTTCGCGGGCAAACGTGAGCTGTTGACTGATATGCAAGTCTGCAGTCTAAACAAATGTTGCATTAGTTTAAATATGCTGTGATCAATATTTGCTGCTTGCACCGACCTGCTCTGCACCCAACCTATGCAGTGCAGTTGCACGATGCACGAATACGGTTGACAGGCACACATGCGGGAATATGTCTTGGAGAAAAGAGCTAGCTGTGTTTTGAGGAGAGACATGCCATGTAAACGTCTCGAATGCTATTTATTGGTTGCGCAAGGCGAGGATACATAAAACCAGTTCGTTTAATTGAATAACACGACATGTCAATACATTTTAGAAAGACGAAAAGATATAAGATGTCTGAATACTTTAGGAGAGTGTGATTCTCTTGAAACTGAGGGTTACGAATTTGAATTTTTGCGGGGATGGTCATTAAAACTTGTTTCCTAACAAATGTGTGCACTATTATATGAGCGAGTGAATGCTGCTTTATGCCGCACTATACACTGTTCCAGCGTAAACTGTAACTATTTCAGCTTGGAGCAGACAAGTCATATCGTAACATGTGCATCCATCCACGCTGACAGGGGATACGAAGACAATCAGACAGGTCCCATTGTGGCCACTCGATACTCATTTAGTCAGTGCCTACGATAAGCATGGGGTAGGCCCTATTGTGGATATTCTGCATATATGTCGGGGGATCTCCGCGGGGTGCACCATTTGTATATTTTTATTATCTTTATTTCTTTTTCAATATTTATATTTAATTAATGTTTTTTTGTTGTGAATTATTCCGACTGTCAATAAAGTATCGTATGGTTCACAATGGGGGTTTGATTAATACTGTATATTCTATCTGTCAGGGAGAACCCGCGTTTTTCAGAATCATTAACCAGCTAGTTCACCAGTATACTGCTCCCATCAGCTCAATGGCCTGTCTGTGCTGATGTGTATTCTCTGGGCTTACCAGAAACGTTAGTCCTGCACCATGACCATGGAATATATTTATTTTATGAAAAAAATAATCTAGAAATGCATACAAAAGCAAGTCTAGCCAGCTCAAGCTAAATCAGTATTGGGAATTTTTTTAATTTTTAGAGTCAAAAAGGATATTGTGGTATATAAGATTTCAGAGACTAAATGTTAGTATACAGAAACGTATAATAAGCGTATTACGCGTAATACCATATTAGTAATAATTATGTTTCTAGGTTTTTCAGCAGGATACCCCTGCTCGTGGGTTTCACCAAAGTGGTTAACGTCTAAAGGGGCATTCATTTCGGCCTTTCTTCCAAAATCAAGATATTTGTAACACACTAATTTCACATTAGAGTTAACAGTGGTAGACAAATTGAAAGCCTATCCGATGCATTTTATCGGTGTTTAATTCAGTCCGTTTCAAATTTAAGTGAGGTGAGGTGAAATTGGGTTTAACGTCGCGTCCAAAATTATTGCACCCATATAACGACGTGTGTGTGTGTGGCTGCTTGTACAAGTCCGGACTAATGCCAATTTATAGTGCTAGCTCACTTAGATACCATGCCGCAGTTTAACATGAATACCCCACTCAGACACACTATACTGACTCCGAGCCGACCAGTCCTTGCTGCTGAGCGCCAGACAGGGTAACAACAAGTACCATCTTTTAACGTCTTTTGGTATGACGCGGCCGGGGATCGAACCCCGGACCTTCGGCTCTCCGGGCGAACGCTCTACCACTAGACCACGGAGGAGGTCTCAAATTTAACACCGAGCTGCGAAACTCAAGGCATTTTATCGGATTTTAATGCATTTTCAAGTCAAATTCAATTTTTTAACCGAACTGCCAGATTCAAGGCAATTTCTAGATATTTTATCCCATTTTATAATCCTTTCAAGGACGATTCCAATCTAAAACCAGCAAGCCATATTAAAGTCTGACCTGGTACAAGCAAACCAATATGCGACAGTATAAGCACCGACCCAGAGGAATCGCCCACTCGAGCTAAGTCCCCGCCCCAAACAAGCATGTGGTCTCGATGTCCCAAACACTAGGGGCTGGGGTAGGTCACCTCGGTATACACCCTGTTAACTCGTGTCGGGGCACGCCGAGCAGCGCACGTTCAAGGGAATAATAATATAAAGTGTAAACATAAAAAAACGTCTTCCTGAAGAGGCGAGACATGAACTTTCGACAGGGAAGGACTATTTGGTCAAAATTCAAGGACGTAAGTCCGGTTCGCAATGACATTTAGATTATCTATACTTTCAATACAGATTTCCTTAAATGAATCATTTGTGTGTTTTATAAAGGGTTTTGTCAACAAAAGGGGTCGCGGACTAACT